TAAATAAATGGATTTAAAGCCTTTAAAATTATAGAAAAATTATAAAAACGCTTGGGCGTGTTTGTAAATCTAATAATAATGCATGTGCACTATTTAAAAATATATATATGCATATTTAAAATATATGAGGAAAAAATTGGGTATCAACACCATTAACCCTAACTAATTGTAGCATCAAATAATAAAACTCATGAGCCCCAGTTAAAATTAAAAGAAAAGAGGGAGAAGAAATAAAAACTAATAATTAAAAGAAAGACAAGTACAAATTTATGAACAATTATGAAGTGAAATTACCAGTTGTGTAATGAGTGATGAGAATGGACTTCTAATTTGGTGATTGTGCGGATTAGGGCTTAGATGAACGGTAAAAATTATGCTTGAGAAGTCAAAGATCGAAAAGGGTAAAAGGTCTCAGGACCTTCTATTTATAAAAAGTACCCTGGGACCTACAATGCTCACCTGGCGCGGCCGCGGAATTTCACCGCGGTCCGCACTTTTTGACTTACAGAAGGGCTGCTTGTTTAAACTTCCGTTGGGAGCGGAAAATGGGGCGCGACGAAAGAAAAGAATGAAAAGAGAAGAAAAATAAGAAAAAAAGAAGAAAAGCAAAAAAAAAAAAGAGAAAAGAGAAAAGTAACAACAACAAAACAATTCCTATGACATGAACTATGTTCGACCTGATTCCTTTTAAGGATAAGTAGGTAGCCTCACGGTTCGGTCCCATCCAAATAAAAATTCAAAAGCCCCCAGGCAAAGAAACTAGGGCAGAAGTTGTGGTTATTTAAAAGATCTGATTCCAAAAGTTGTAATTACGAACCCACTCGAGTTGTTTTGAGCCTTTATCCTTTCTTTCTAACCCCATCCAAAAACCCACATTACGGTCCAAAGAAAGACCTTCCGATCAATATTTGAGAATGTCAAGTCAAGCGAGACAGAGGTATGATTCGCACCAGGGGCAACACTCTGTGCTAAACAAAGGAAAGTGAATAAATGAGAGAGTCATATTGGTGAAAACCCTCACGGGCACCCTAGGGCAACAGAAAGATAAGAGAAGTCAAAATGAGAGAGTCTTATTGGTGAAAACCTTCACGGGCACCGTAAGATGACAGTGAGTTGAGAGTTGAACAAATGAGAGAGGTTTGTTGATAAAAACCCTTCAGGGCACCGCAAGCCGAACAAGGTCAGTGACTTGGGGAAGAGATTGGGTTATGAAGATCCCGAGGCATAAAGTATGACAACTGAAAGGTTATTGGCTGAACGGGTTGGGTTGATTAATCCGAAATGTATGTCATGATCATTGGTGCCAGTTGCCTCACTCAGATAAGTTTCTTTTCCTTTTCTCCCTCAAACAGTCATCTTGTTTCAAGTTCTCTTTTTTATTTCTGTACCCTCAAAGTCATTGCATTTCATTTTTTGGGGTTTATTTCTCTAAGGATTTTCCAATGACAACCTTGTTTAAACAAGAAAGAAAAGATTTCAAAGCTTACTACCAACTTCCAAATTGCACAAAGCAAAGTGCGGCCAAAGCATACCAGAAATAGCATGATGCAAAAGTGAAAAATAAGGTGTTAATGGAAGTTCAACCGGTCGAGTGGTTTGTGAATTTTGTCGAAGATACAAAGGTTCAAATTGGAAGGACAGAAATGTAAAATAGCGGGTTGAGCGTAGAGCACTCGGGTCATTCAGGATCCTGAGGTTGAGATTCAGTCAGAAAGTCAAACAATTCTTGGCCAGTTCAAAGTAGCCAGTTAGAACAAAGCACGAAAATGGAAAGGTCACCTTCAGCAAGAATACCATAAACTAACCACCACATTTTTTTAAACGGATAAAGTTTTTTTTGATTGAAACAGGGGCAGGAAATCTCGGTTGTTTCGGAGGAACCCTCCGTAAGGAAAGGATGTACCAGACAGGTCCGGCCATTAGGACCAGCTTGGATAATGGGATTTAACTTGAAGTTCTCATGACCCGCCTGGATAATGGGATTTAACTTGAAGTTCTCAAGACCCTACTGGACAATGGGATTTAGTTAAAATTCAAAGCATTAATGGGTAACAAGATCTAGCATAAGCTCTACCTTGAGGAAATATAAGTTGGCTTTGAAATTTTCATTCTTAGGATGAGATTCAATTTGAAATTTTCAGGACCCTCATGGATAATGAGACTTAGTTTTAAGACCTTCATAGATAACAAGATTTAGCGTAAGTTATACCTTTAGAAAATATAATGTAGCTTTAAAGTTGTCACTCTTAAGATGATATTTAATTTGAAGTTTTCAAGACCCTCATGGATAATGTGATTTAACTTTTAAATTCTTAGAGATATTGGGTAACATTAGGGCTGCTTATCGGGCAGATTGGGCGGTTATTTACTCTTAACGGTTTGGCTTATCGGTTATCGACTTTAAATGTGTTAATCCGCTAGCCACCTGATAAGATATCGAGCGGATTGGTATCGGTTTAGCTCTTATCGGGCCGTTTATCGGCCTAATTCAATTTTTATTTCAAATAGAATAGAAATTATGAATTTGAAACTGAAACTTTTATACATGATTTTAAGAAGCAGAATATTTCACACTTCTATTTTAGGATTGGAAAAGGCTCACAACGAACTTGGGGACTAATTTGGTACTCAATGAATATGGTGATTGAAGGGTTCATGTCATGCTTGCAGATGCAAACATTCCCTTTAATTTTAGGAATGACCCCAGGAAGCACCTAACAGAGTTGATACAAATAGTGATTAATTGAACTGCGCTTGAAGATACAAACTGAATAGCTTAAAGTTGTACAGTGTTCTTAGGTTCTCTTTTGCAGATATTATCCAAAAAAGAAAATTATCATAATATTCTATTATGCACTTGATGTAAATGTTATTTGGGTATGGTCATTTGTTTTCATTTTTATATGGAGCAGTCTATTGATACGTGAAACTCAAAAGGAAGCTAAACACTTCATATGTTAAGCCTGTGCATTTACACGGGCAACCTCCATAGTGTGTGTGTATATATATATATTCTTCACGGGTTAATGGATTTTTTGTTAATAAAATTGAATAATCCACCCCAAACCGATAAGCCGTTAATAAAAAAAAATTCAATCTGTTCCACGTCCATTAAACCGTTAACCCGATACCAATAAGCCATTAAGCTTCGGTTTCGGTTCGGTTTTGAACACCCCTAGGTAACATGATTCAATTAACACTCACAAATGTGCCCAGATACCAAACTTGTGCAAAAATATTTCTTTGTTTTGTCTATTTTGTTGAAATCAGGTGTTTGCTTGGAGAACAAGGGAATACAATTCAAGCTTTGGTAATCAGGTGCCTACCTGGAAAACAAGGGAATACAATTCAAGCTTTGGTAATCAGGCATCCACCTGAAGAACAATGGAATACGGTTAAAGTTTTGGCAATCAGGCGCCCACCCGGAGAACAAGAGAATACAGTTCAAGTTTGGTAATCAGGCACCCACCTGGAGAACAAGTGAGTACAATTCAAGTTTTGGTAATCAGGCGCCCACCTAGAGAACAAGGGAATATATCTCAAGTTTTGGCAATCAGGCGCCCACCTGGAGAACAAGGGAATACAGTTCAAGTTTTGACAATCAGGCGCCCGCCTGGAGAGCAAGAGAATACAGTTTAAGTTTTGGCAATCAGGCGCCCACCTGGAGAACAAGGGAATACAACTCAAGTTTTGGCAATCAGGCGCCACCTAGAGAACAAGGGAATACAGATCAAGTTTTTGTAATCAGGCGCCCACATTGAGAACAAAGGAATACAGTTTAAGTCTCGGCAATCAGGCACCCACCTAGAAAACAAGGGAATACAGTTCAAGTTTTGGTAATCAGGCGTCCACCTGGAGAAGAAGGGAACACAATTCAAGATTTTGGTAATCAGGCGCCCACCTGGAGAACAAGGGAATGCAGTCTAAGTATCAGCAATCAGACACCCACCTCGAAAACAAGGGAACCCATTTCAGAATTCCGTTCGTGTTAGCAACAACAGAAATTCGCCTCGAGAGTGCAGGTCGACAGTTCAAGATGCACAACAGAACTGTAGAAGCAGCAAGCCAAGTTTGAAGATGGTAGATAGGATTCTTGTAATTTATAGATCATAGTTTAGCCTAGTTTCTTTTTATTTTGTCTCGATGCAATAAGGAGTTCAACGAGCAATAGCAACAGCAGCAGTAGTGCAATCACAACTTCCCGGTAGTCCTAGCTACCAAAACTTCCCAAACTATACTGACCTGATTCCTTTATAGCCAAGGATATGTAGGCAACCTCGGAAGCAAGGTGCGGTCAAATCTTTCAAAAATGCTTCCCTCGGAGTATTCAAATGGGCAAAAATTGTTTGTATCCACTCACTTTATCTTTGCACGAAAACCCTTCGTGTTTTCGAGTAAAGAGGGGCAGTTGTGAGCACGTAATTTTTGCCCTATAGGAATTACTCCCATAAAATCTAAGAAAATAAATTTTCCCCAGTGTTTGCAATTTTATAGGATTTTGTGAGAATTTGTATTAAGTGTTTGCATTTTGTGCACGTTTGATTAATACAAAAATACCATGCATTGCATTTAGATTGTGGTTTTATATTTTAGGATTAATTAGTTAATCATTTGTGTTATTAAAAAGGAAAATCAGAAAAATGGCCCATTTTACCTTTTAATTGTCAGATTATTGATTTTCGTTTTGATTTAGGATTTGGGAATTTTACAAATTTTAGGAAAAAGGTTAGTTTTAAAATTTAAATTAATTTAGGATTTTAATTAAAGAAAAAAAATAAAGGAATTTGAAATTGGAAAAGGTGGGTCTAAGTCTAATTGGGCCATGTTTTAAATTAACCCAATTCCCTAATAAGCCCAATCACCAAACCTGCCTAGCACCCTCAGCCAGCCCTTACCCGCCCTTGCCCCAGCCAAAACCCACTCGACCCATCACTTGACCCGCCCCGTTTCCCCCTTAATATATAAACCCCTTATAAAATTTTCCCCAAAACCAAACCCTAAATTCCAAAACTCAGAAGCGACGCTATACACTGTTCTTCTTCACCCAAAATCATTCCCAAACTCGCCAAAATTCAGGCGAGTGAACCCAAACTCACATCACGCGCTTCCCCCCTTCTATCCTTTTGCCACATAGTGTAACAGTCTCTGACAACAACAAGATTCCCTCCCTCACTTGCCCGTTTTCAAGCTAAATCACGCGGTTAGAAGGCTCGAAAAGACGTGTGTTGGATGTGTGAGAGCCGTCAGATCGATTTCATTCAATCCAAACCTCACATTCATCATGTGCTCGTTTTCAAAGGGGCCTTATCCGATTTCTTGAAGAGGGAGTAAGAATCTGGAGGTTAGGGATATAAGGAAGCATTTTCGGATAAAAAAGGGGATTCTTTTCAGAAAAGGTTTTTTTTAGAAATTTAGGAAAGGAAAAATTCTAGGGTTCTTGGAGTTTCCTTTTTTTTCTTCAATTTTCGTTGGGATTTTTAGAAAAAACAAAGAGCAAAAAATATAGTCCGAGTTTCATTTCTTTGAGTTTTACTTCATTTCAAGAAAAAATCAAAAAAAAATCACTAAGACATAATTTTCATATTTTTTTCTCTTAATTTCTTGTTCTAAAAAATGGAGCTTGATTGAAGTTGAGTTGGAGTTTGCATTTAAGCTCTAAATCCTGCTGCTATTTCAAATTTCTGTCCGAGCTTCTGATTTCTACTCAATTTTGTTGCTGGTTGTGCTGATATTAGCTATTGGATTTCACTTGTAATTAGTGTTTAAGCAAAATTAATCAAGGCGTTTGCTGATTCAGGTTCATCTCTTGGTTCCTTTAATCTTTTTTATTTTATTTCTCTTTTTCTGTCTTCTTTGTGTTGTTTGAAGTATTGGTAAGAACTATGGTTGGTCGAATGGGGTTTTGCAGTGTCTATAACATCTTAAGGGTATAGTGTGTGCTTAAAAAACAATCTCGAATGGGTTCGCATTCGAATGTATGTTTCAAAGTCCGTCCTACTTTGAACAGGTTCATTTGAGCTGAGTTTCTTCCTGTTTTTGTGCTGTTTGGTTAAAGTGATCGTCCTTCAAATCGTATCTATCTCTGATTCAGTTTTTTGCTACAACTTGAGTCATATGTCTCCGCTATTTCTTGCTTTATTCCTTGTGTGGATTGGATATCAGTGCCGAATTAGCTAAAAGTCGATTGGTTTAAGTTTAAATGACTGTGTTCATTGGTTCCAATTTTATAATCTGGACTAGTTCTAGTTTAAATGACCAGCTCGACTAATTCTGGTGTTTCATTTGCTATATATGACATGTTTTATGCTCAAGGTAATCTGCTCGTACCTATTGTTTGGTCTCGACATATTCGACATGAATCACTGAATAGTTTCCTTTTTCCGTGATTCCATGACCATTTTCGCATGTTCTGCGGGTTTGAAGTTGCTGAAGTTATCTTTGATATTATTTGCTCTTTGTGTCTTACCATGTTTGAGAGGATCAGTGAGTGTTCATGTTTCCAGCATGCCTATTCTGTTGGTGAACTTCTTGAACAAGATTCAATATGAAAATTGTGTAGCAGTATGACTTTGTTTTCTTTGAAATCAGTTGATATTTGCTAGTTGAGCTATGTGCCTTTGTGTCTTATTTTCCTAGCAAGTCCTTGTTTGTTTGGCTGATTTCAGGCTTAAAATGTGGTTGTAGGGCAATAATAAGTAATGTGATCGTCTAATGTTGAAAGAGGATTCCATGTAAGTTGTAATAAATTAGTCAGTTAGTCCCATGTAGAAGCTTAAACTTAATAGGTCTAACCAACAAACTGAGGGTTGGTTTGTAAAGGGACTTACTAAGTTCAATGTTTGGATTTGCTAAGTTCAGTAGTGGGTTTTGCTCAATTTACAGTCATTTTGTTAAGGAGTTGGAATGCATTTTGAGTTGATCATTAGCGGTTTGATAAATTTGTGGAATGCATTTTGCCTGGATTGTTAGGAGGCCAGTAATGTTAAGGTCCTAACTTCTGTGCAATTGCGAGTTTTTTTACTTACTACTCGCGTTGGTGGTATTGGCTGTTTTCTTTTATCATTGAATACGGGCTTTCTATTTTGATCTGTTTAAAGGGAATAAATGTCAACCGTGCAATGTGTCAAATCCACGGTATTGGCTTTACATTTAGTGACCAAGTCTATTTTTTCTTAAAGATTGTGGTGTGGATAATATGGCAAAAAATGTGGGTTTCTACGGTGATGTATTGTAATTATTTTGTTTGAGACATAAGTTGAAGACAATCATCCTCGATATTAACATTCTTTTCCTGCTACTCTTTCCCTATTATTCTATAAGAAGCTCTGAACAATGGTACTGGTTGCACAAGCTTAGACCAATTGTTGGCATTTTATGGTTAGGCGAACCTATAGGCATGTAATTAAATCATCATAAATACGGGTACGATTCCCGTGACGTCGTTGTGACACCTAATTTTAAATTAGTTTTAATATGAATATCTATAGTTCATTTAGTTGAATAGTTTTGAGGCGTGTCATTCATACATTTAAATCATATAACCTATGACCCTCATATTTTATAACTTAGATACTAAAAACGAATCTCGTAGTTTGCTTTAGGCGCGCAATTAAATTATTACAACTACGGGTATGGTTCCCATGACGTAGTTGTGATACCTAAATTAGATTAAAGTATGAGCATCCTAGTTGGCCTCCAAGAATACAAATCTTTTCCTTTTTAAAAATAATTTGAGGTGCGCCATACACAAATAGAATCCTATAATCTATGACCCTCATGTAAATACAAGATTAGAATGGAAAATGCCTTGAACTTTCGTAGTTTGCTTTAGGTGCCTTAATTAAATAATTGTCATGGCTACATGTACGGCTTCCGTGACGCAGTTGTGATGCTTAATTTCTAAAATTCGGGGATACATTTATGTGACCCGGTCACAATTTAATCTTGTTAATAAAATAAACATGTTGTAGATCGTGAGTACGGTTCCCGTGACATGATTCGCAATGTGTAATTAAATAAATATTAGTATAATAAGTGGATTATTAAAAGCGGTTTAAAAAGGAATAGAAATGCACCTAGGTTTCAAAGATGTTTTAAATCAAATAAATAGACCAATAATAGCAGTTGAACGACCGTGCTGAAACCACGGAACCCGAGAATGCCTAATACCTTCTCCCGAGTTAACAAAATTCCTTACCCGGATTTCTGTATTTCGCGGACTGTAAAACAAAGTCAATGTTTTTCTCGATTCGGGATTTAAACCGGTGACTTGAGACACCATAAATTATCCCAAGTGGCGACTCTGAAACTTAAAAATAATCCCGTTTCGATTGTCACTTAAATTGAAAAAAAACTCCCTTATACCCTCTCGGGGCTAGTAAAAAGGAGGTGTGACATTGATTTCAAATTTTTCTGATACCCTTTAGTTGGCATAAGTCGAACACATTTCTATTTCATTTCTTGATCTTGAGAAGCAGGAGACATCAATTTCGTGATGGTCAAGAGCAAGAACTAGAGCTGTCAAAGTAAATTTAGATCACATCAATTCTATAAGTAATTAATTTCACTAACATTTTTGTTTCTTCATGCATACAGGCAAAGGTTTTCTTAACAACGGTAAAGCCCAAAAATTTGCTTTACAGTATTGGCTAGAATTGTATGCTATCTATCTTGATTTTCTCTTTTGTTTGAACCACACAATGTGTGTCGATTATGTATGTAAATATATGAAGAGCAACAAGACCCAACATATATAACGAATCAATGAATAACAAAATTAGATTTTTTTCATGCTCCTTTGTGTTCACCGTATTATTCAAGTAAAATTTCCTTTTTCTTTTAATTTTTTTTATTCTCTGCGCAACGCGCGAGTACGAATACTAGTTATAATAGAATACATGTGCAACATGCGAATAGTCTTAAAAGATTGGTCATAAGGGAAGTATTAAGGCGCTAACCTTTAATTTTATCAAGTTTGGAGATTTTCTATGAGAAAAAGTGGGAAGAAATAAGCATGGGCAACACTAGATCAGTTTATTCTACTAGATCAATTTATTCTTCAACCTGAGAAAATGAAAACCTTGTTGATTGAGTTAATCATCCTATCCAAATATTTGAGAGGAAATACTGTAACATACATTTATTACTATGAAATTTATGAAAAGGAATTCACACAAGCCATCTTAATAAAGTAGTAAATATCGTTTCATCTTCTTAAAATTGGATAATCTCGAGTATTTAATCTTGCATTAGGAGGGTGTTTAATTTCCTCATAGGTCATCACCGTTTATCATTGCAAGAGTTTACACTTTTTTTTTTTTTTTTTTTTTTTTTTTTTTTTCTTTTTTTTTTGTAATTCAAACACATTTTTAATTACAATCTTATGTGATTGCTTAAATTTTTTTTACTTATTGACACGAAACTAGTATCTTGCATATAGCCAATTTTATGATGTACAAATAGCACCAGTTTTAATAAAATGGCATAATGTACAAATAGTACCAATTTTAATGCAACAAATCAAACAACCAACAAAAAATAATTCATATATTACTAATCCTTGCACTTATAATTCATGTGTAACTTATCTTCATACGAAATGACCCCTAAATTATATCATAAAATTTTCTTCATTATAATTCTCAAACCACAGTGCCCAATGCTATACGTTTTCTTTTTAAACTTTTATTTGCTTACCTAGCTACATACATGTTAGATCTAAACATCCAATAATACTTTAAGAGTATAATATTGAGATCAATTCATGCATATTGACAATATAAAGAAATTTGATACTATTACTTCAATCTAACTAGTGAGGTTATTTCACTATTTTTCAAATTATTATAACAGACTTGATATATAAAATTACTTAGTATTGTAGGTCAATTTAATTGAAAGTGAACCCTATAAGTGCATATATAATATAATACACATTCTAAAATATCTATGTTAAAATTTGACCTTAAGGTCCTTAACTACTAGTTCAAGATTAAGATACTAAAAACTAAAACATGTCAAATTCCAATTTCATTAAAGTAGATTACATGCCAATCAAGTAACTTGGTACTTTCTGATTATGGCACAATTGGATGTGTTGCTCTATCAGTATTGAGTGTAAAAAACTTATCATCATAGACCATAGTTATCTATATCTATCTATCTATACTATATTAAAAGCACGAAAGTCATTAGCGAAATATCGTTCGCTTTTTTACCCTTTAAAAATATATTATATATTAAATAAAATAGTAATTGAAGTTATTTGCCTAAAATTTAGGGCTTCAAAATTAACTATATTTTGTATATTAAATACTTTCTTGTTTAAAATAGGTATGAATCCTAATTTATAGGACTTACTTTATCACGTTTGGTTTTCCATTTCTTTTATTAATAAGAGATAATGTGCTTATTATATTTTCAATTCTAGATTATTCATTAAAATACCTACAATTATAGGACTTACTTTATCACGTTTGGTTTTCCATTTCTTTTATTAATAAGAGATAATGTGCTTATTATATTTTCAATTCTAGATTATTCATTAAAATACCTACAATTATAGGACTTACTTTATCACGTTTGGTTTTCCATTTCTTTTATTAATAAGAGATAATGTGCTTATTATATTTTCAATTCTAGATTATTCATTAAAATACCTACAATTATAGGACTTACTTTATCACGTTTGGTTTTCCATTTCTTTTATTAATAAGAGATAATGTGCTTATTATATTTTCAATTCTAGATTATTCATTAAAATACCTACAATAAAAGACTAAAATTTAAATCTAACGTTTTTTTCCATTTTAAACTTGATCTTTATAAGCAAAAAAGAAAATCTGAAGTCCCTCCAAATTAATGTTAATTATAATATAAAAAAATACTTTATTTAATTATTTTTACAAATTTTAGAAGTTTAAAATTAATAAAACTTTTATTTACTAATTTTTTATTATTATTTGGGCTAAACTTAGAACTTTAAAATATTAAATTTTTTACTTTATATATATATATATNACAAGCTTGCATTAGTATCCATTTAAATGTATTTTTTTCTCATTGCTATTTAATTTGATTTTGTGATCATATGAAAGTTGTAGATTATTAGTTGTCTGATTATATATTTTAAGTTATCCTTCAGCACTATTTAGATTTTTAAGGACTTATTCTTGCTGAAACTGAAAAAGGAAGCATGATACTTTGTAAAATTAAAGTTATAAGGTTTTTAAGGACTTGCTCTCGCTGAAACTGAAAAAGGAAGCATGATAACTTGTGAAATTAAAGTTATAATATTATTAAATTGAAATAAATTTTAAGTTGAATTATTGACTTATGATTGATAATTTTTACGAGAGCTTCTTTATTTATTTAGTTATTATGCACATTTAACATATATAATTATCTTTAGGAAGTTATACTTTTATTTTATTGTTTAAACATAAATTTTAAATAAATTAATACTCATGAGATAGAATACACGGGCATCGCGTATACCTTGAGACTAGTATTAAAAAAAAGGGCAATAAAGAAAACAAAACCCAAAACTTTGGTGGTAAAAATGCAAAAAAAAGGAAAAAAAAAAGAAGAGAAGGCATGCGCCAATAGTTTTCCCACGAGCTTAGGGTAAAATGGTATTTCACAGAATATTATAACCGGTTTAATTGAACCGCCGAGTTAGCATGTACTATACGGAATACCCGGTCCTTATATAATGATGTCACTAAGGAATAAACCTCAACATCTCATCCCTTTAGCTTCTTCTTCGCAGATTTTAGGGCAAACAGAGGTAGCGGTCGGCCAAATAGATCGAAATCCAGGTTTCTGTTATTTTCTCTCTCACTTTTTTCAATCACAAAGTTGCTTCCATGATTTTACTTGTTTTCTTATATTATTCTATTTTTTTATCCTCTTTTTGGTCTTCTTTTGTTAATAAACGGAGGTTTTAGCATAGTGAACTATTGATTTGGTTTGAATTCAGCGATCAGTAATGCTGGGTTTTTTATGATTATTTTGCGGAATTCTTTTTACATATGAATTTGAATTCTTACCTTAGTTTATGAATGGGCATAATTTCTTTGTAATCAAGGTGTTGATGGCACATACATATGGCATTACGGTTTTTTGATATCATTCTTTCAAGAGATTTAGAGAACCCTTTATTTATTTATTACTACTACTAGTACTATCTTTTATATATTTAACTTATTATTACTTTTACTTTTATTGGGTAGAGTTAAGCTTAAATAGAGCAACATTGTATTGAGTCATAGTTGCTGTTGTTGTTTGAAATAGACT